GGAGGCTGAGCTGTTTTTGGAAGGAAGATTAGTATTCTGAAAGCCAGGAATGAAAAGGGAATGCACCCAGAATAATTTGTGGAGGATCACTTATGTGATCTTAGGGATGCAAGCACAGAGAGGTGTCATGTGGAGTCTGGGGAAATGCTGACAGTTCAAGCTTGGCACAGCGGGGGAACAACATGAAATAAGATTGGGAAGGTGGGTTGGAATGAGTTTGCAGAGGCTTTTAAATGGCAGGCTTAGAGTTTGTATATTGTCCTAAAGGCGATAGGGAGCCATTTTGGGTTTTTAAGGAGGGAGGGGAGTCGACCTGGTCAGAAATGTGGATTAGGAAGATTATTTTTGCAACAGAATGAAAGATGAAGTGGAGAGATAATAGTCTAATTTGCATAGAACTCTGCTAGGTGTGCTGGGAGAAGGTTGGGCCCTGCCTTCAAGGAGTTTACATCTAGTTAGAGAAATAATTGGAGGTGTCCTAATAAATATTTAACATCTGACTTGGAGTGGGGTGGGGGGAAATGTACCCTCGGGAGATTGTAATCTGCGTTCTTAACATTTTCCTCCTTCACTTTCTTCAGTCTAGGCACAATCAACAAACAAGAAATTAAGCCCTGATTTGTAGTATTTGCATATTTCTGAGGTGTAAATGATCACACTGAAAATTAACAATCAGCTCTTGTAAGCCAATTAGAGCTGGCTCCAGCTTGTTCCTGGAAACAATATGTATGAAGCCACTAACTAATTTAATTTAAAAAACAAAAAGTACTGAGACAAGTTTAGTGTCTGGAGAGCTGTCCTGTGAGTGAGCAAGACCCAGACTTAATTCCTGCCTGTGATACAGATTGACTATGTATATTTAGGCTATGCATACTTGAGCAAGTCACTCAACTGTCATCTGCCTCAGTTTCCTCATCTGTAAAATGTGGGAAATATTAGCATCTTCCTCCCTAAGTGGTTGTAAAGGTAGTATGAGATAAAATGCTAAAGTACTCTATAAATGTAACTAAGACAATTTCCCCAGGCACAGAGAGCCATATCAGCTGAGGGACTTTCTACAATGAGAAGTTCCCTACATGGGTGAAATCTCATATCCAGTACAAAAAAAAAAAAAAAAAAGTTATGTTGTGTAGTACAGAAAGTGACTTCTACGGGCATTTAAAGGGAGGAGAGTATACTGGGGGGAAAAGGTGGGCTAGGAAAGGGCTTCACAGAAGAGCCAGAGCTTGAGCAGGGCCTGGAAGGCTAGATAGACTTTCAATAGGCAGAGAGAAAATAGAAAGCATGATGAATTCCAGATGAAGGAAATGTCTTAAGCAAATTATATGGACTCTTCAGAGCTGATTGTTAATTTTCAAGGAAGGCATTTACACCTCAGAAATGGGCAACACTACAATTCAGGGCTTGATTTATTACTTTGTTGATTGTCTAGACTTAAGAGCATGATGGAGAAAAATGTTAATGATGAAAGTTAATGTTAAAAGTACGTCTAATGTACATTCCCCACCCCCACCTCGAGAGCCGGTTGTTAAACATTTATCAGCACACCCCTGTATGAATGTGTGTTTGGAGTTGAGGGTATTTGGGGTTAGGATATGAATTTGGGAGAAGTTTGAAATAAGGATCCTCTTCAAGTGGAAAGGACTCCACTGTGTATGAGGAAAGCCCATAACCCAACTTGAACCAGGGTGATTTCTTGCATTGTGTCCTAGGTGTGGAGGGGGGAATGGGACAATTGATAGTGTGACTGATACAGTGGAAAGAGGGCACTGTCTCTAGAGTCAAAGCACAGCCTCTGGGCTCAAATCTTGCTTTGGATGTGACCTTGGGCAAGTCTCATGAGTTCAGCTTCCTCACATCTAAAATAGAGGGTTGGGCTGGATGGCCTCCAATATCCCTTCTAGCCGTGACCCTTAGACCACCTTGGTCATCAAGGCAGTGTCTGAGCAGCTGGTCAGGGAAGTAACATTGAAGTTGACCGTTTGGGGCAAACATTCTTCACATTTAGGCATCAGGGGTCCCAGCAACGGAACTGCTGACTCTTTTCCACAAGACCCTCCATCACCTAGTTCCCTCAACACTCGCACACCCAACTTGACAGCTGAGTGCCAGACAGCCAGAGCCTTAGTGCTGGCCTGCTGTGAGTATCTGCTGCCACCTACTGTTCCCATGTAGCACCACCTCTTTCTCAACTCCTCAATACCACTATCCCCGCTTCCTGGATTTTCTTCCTCACTTCGCCAGGTGCCCTTTAGACCTCTGCCTGGTTTGTTGTCATTGTTGTCATTGTTATGGGGGATTCTAACAAATGACTGAATCTTCAGTGATTTTTTTTTTCACCATGGGGAATGTCACAATCTACCTCCCAAATTAAAGTCACCCTTCATGCTGTCTGCAGCAGGCATTGGGTTGTAGCATTTGAAAAAAAAAAAGAACCGTCTTCTAACCCAAACCTTTCTTCTGCATTATCCCTCTTTGTCCCCGGTTCTCCACCCAGCTTCTGACATTTGTCTAAGAAGTCAGTAAGAGCATTCTGCCCGTGCTGGAGGCAGATGGAAATTCTGTGGCCATGCCACTGATAAGAATAATAAGTCAGGATCCCTTGTTTCCTTAAGTCTCTTGGTGTTGAGTGTATTTTCTATGAAAAAGAATAATAAATTATGGGAGAGAAGATTTAGAGCTGGAAGGTACCTTAGAGATAAACTAACCCAATCCCCTCGTTTTACAGATGAGGAAACTGAAGCCCAGAGAAGGTGTGACTTGGTTAAGATAACATGGTCATAAGTAGCAAAGTTGGAATTTGAACCTAGGTCTTCTGATTCTAAATTCCAATCTCTTCCCCCTGTACCACTACCACTACTTTATTGGGATTAGTTTATTTAGGCTGACTAGAGAGAGAGAGGAGAGGAGGAATGGACTCATAAAACTCTCGTGAAGATAATTCCTTTTTTAATGTTTAAGTGATGTTTTTGAACAAAATGGTCGTTTCCTTCTTTTTAACAATTAAACAAAAACATCCAATACAGAAACCTTGCCAATAATAATAATAGTTGTTATATGTAATATATACTATAATTATAATAATTGACATCTATACCGTGCTTTAAAGTTTCAAAATACTTTAGCTATATTGTCTCATTTAATTCTCGCAACTATGAGGTATATGTTATTATTATCCCCATTTTATGTACAGGAAGAGGCTAAATGATTTGCCAGTGATCACAAAGCTGGTAAGTGTCTGAGGTGGGGTTTGAACTCAGAACTCCCTGAATTGAAGTCTAGCACTCTATCCATTCTAATACTTAGCTTATCCCCAAAGGCTACAGTACTCAGCCCTAGTGGTCACACATATCACTGTCTTTATCTATGGAAGAGTTATGTTCTGTTACCTTGTGAAGAAGCAATTCTAAGGGCAGTGGCAGGTGAGTATATGGAGGTGAGGGGCATTGCAGTTTTCATCTCAACACAGAAAATGAAGCAGGAATGATTTAGATTAAATGAGAGGGGAAAAAAAATCCTTGAATAAGTGAGCCCAAGGAGATTTTTAGACCAGTGGTGTCAAACTCCAATAGAGACTGATTCCTGAGGGTCACATACTGACTTATAAAACCATAAGCATTATCTATGTTTCATTGTATTTTTTATTTATTTTGTTAAACATTTTCCAATTACATTTTAATCTGGTTCACGCAACACTACCCATGACACCTCTGTCCTAGAATTTCTCTAGAGGTCTTTAGAAACAGACCCAGCTCTCAAATGCCTGGATAGAGAGGTTAGGGGTAGTCTTGACTTGGGGCAAGGGAATGAGTGAAATAATCTTAAGGGATTGGCTAGGGGACCTTGAGAGACTCTAATATTCTTATTTTTTTCTTCCCTCTATTCCCGGACAGGATTGTTCTCAAGAAAATGACCTCAATCCAGGAAAACATGAAGATCAGGGGCAAGGATTTGGAGAATTTCAACATGGAATGGAATACATATGTCAAGCAGCTGTCCCTGCTTAATGTAATATCCCCTGTTGTCCTCACTAATTTTGAAGATGTAAGTCCTCTAATATTCATCCTTTCCCTTTCCTCCCCATGGGCACAAATTCAACTAGAATGTCTGGAAGATATGAAGCAAGAGTTTAAAATAGTTAAGAAATGTTTTTGTCAGTGAAATGATAGCACTAGAGGAAAATAATTAGAAAAGAAATAAAAGCTATGGAAGAAGAAAAGGGATTTAACAACTTGGCACAAGAGGTACAAAACCTTGCCCAAGCAACAAACTCCCTGAAAATTAGAATGGACTAAATAGAAGCCAATGATTCCATGAGACAATAAGAAATATTAAAGCAAAGTCAAAAGACTGAAAAGAAAAGGAGAAAAATCTAAGGTACTTCATAGTAAAAATGACTGAACTGGAAAACAGATCAAGGAGAAAAAAATTTAAGAATCAATGAACTACCTTTATACCACGACAAAAAAAGCAAGCGCCTAGATATCATATCTCAAGAAATCTTCAGAGAAATTGCCCAGAGCTCTTAGAATCAGAAGCCAGCGTGGAAATAGAATCCACTGGTCACCTTTTGAAAGAAACCCCCAAATGAATACTTCTAGGAATATTATAATAAAAACCCAGAGCTTCTAGGTCAAAGAAAAAAAAATACCGTAAGCAGCCAAAAAGCAAGAATGACAACAATAACTCGTTTTTATAGCGCTTAAAGGTTTATAGTATGTTTTTGGTTATCCTTAGTAGTATGTAGTACAAGTACTATCATTCTCGTTTTACAGATGAGGAACCTGGGACTCAACAAAGTTAATTGACTTGCCCAAGGCCACAGTTAGTTTTTGAGAGCTGGAATTTAAAAGCAGGACAGCCCTCACACTTTCCAGCATACCGTTCTATAGCATTTCAGAACTGGAAGAGCCCTGAAGAGATCATCTAGTCTAACCTGCTTATTTTATAGATGAGAAAACTGAGGTCCAAGGGAATGAGGTGATTTGCCCTCAGTCCATCTCTCTTTTTTCATCCCCACAGACCCAGTATTATGGTGAAGTCAATATCGGCAACCCACCCCAAACCTTCCAAGTTGTTTTTGATACGGGCTCTGCTGACTTTTGGGTGCCCTCCAGCAGATGTAGTCCACTCTACACAGCATGTGGTAAGATCCTAGCACTGGAGTACTAAGGTCTAGTCTCTCTTGTCTAGGAGTCCAATCTTGTGCCTGGCCCCAAACCATCCTAAACCTAAGCGTTTTTCCTCCTATCCTCCCATTTACTCATCCACCCTTTCAAAAGGGATGGGGATAATTCTCACTTTTAAGATGGGGAAATGAAAGCCCAGAGCTATCAGATTTGTGTACAGAGCCCAGGAGTCCTGACTCCCAGCTTCTTGTTTGTTCAGTCAGAAATGCCAAAATGATAACAAGGGGGGAAAATAAGGAATCAAATCTGATACCCTGAGGAAGCATTTGAGGTCCTGGCCAACCCAAAGGACACACGTATGGGTCTTCCCCAGCCTGCAACAAGACAGAATTCCTAAGCTTCTCCTCCTCCCTCCTCTTTGCCTCAAGTCGCTACACTCCCATTCTCAGTGCTCAGGCCCCAGGGCATCAATTTAACAGTGCCGCCAGGAACTTGGCCCCTCTCATTACCTACATTTACCTGCCATCCCTGGCACTTAGCCCTTTCTCATTGACACTTAGACCAAACCCCATTCTTAGCACTTAACCTCCATTCAAGGAGCTCCCATGATTCCTAGCAATTAGGAGTCCATCAACAGCATCTTAGTGTCTGTCACAGGTCCTTAGCCCCTATCTTTGACAACCTGTCAATCAACAAGCATTAATCAAGTGTATATTGTGTACTTCCCATCCCCACCCTCACCACAAGACTAGAGATGCTTCAAGCTGATTCATTTAAACAATGGAATAAAGCTGAACAGAAATCCTTGAACAGAGTACAGAGGCTTAACCAGGGTGAGGTGAGTGGGACTTAGGCGTAGATTGAGAGTACATTCAGTCTTCAGCAATATGTAAACATCACCTAACTGCTTAGCTAGCAAGAATAATGAGATAAAATAGGAAGCTAGAGAATAGCAGGCTGGGTGAGCCCTACAAACACCCAGCATTTACCTAAGTAGTGCCCAGAATCAGCACTGGTGTTCCCAAATCTTGTGTGTCCACCACGGGGAATGTCACAATCTACCTCCCAAATTAAAGTCACCCTTCATGCTGACTGCAGCGGACATTGGGTTGCAGCATTTGAAAAAAAAATCCTAGTTATGGCTCTGTCAAAGTATGGGGCACATAGTAGTTGTTCAGTAATTTTTTTTTGTTTTATTAAGGGATAGGGATTGACCTGGGATTTCATTGATACGGGGTACTCCCAGGTGAAGAAATTCCCTCTACCAGTGTAAGGAGGCACCTTCTCTGCAACTTTAGTCTTAGAGAACTGAGCCCTGAGAAAGTAAATGATGTGTTTGAGGTCAAGAAGCCAATCTGTGTTAGAGCAAAGTCTTCTTTGCTTTGGACAGGCTATCTATTAAGCCATGATGCTTTTAGGCACATGTTCAAAGCTTTCAACCCTCCAGACTGCAGAATCATAGACTGTATGGAAGGATGGTAGAGATTATCTATTGACCCTCTTTTTGGACAGATGAGGAAACTGAAATCCAGGGAGAAGTGATTTGTCCAAGGTCTCGGTTAGTGATAGGGAAGAGGGTCTAGTCTTTCCATCCTGAGTACATTCCTACTTTCTCTGCTCTACCTGGTTCCCTCTTCTAACACCTGGGTCTGTGTCTCTCTACCAGTGTTACATAGTCAATACGACTCCTCCAAATCCTCTACTTATAAAGAGAATGGGACTGAATTCGGCATCCACTATGCATCGGGCCAAGTCAAGGGCTTCCTGAGCCAGGATACAGTGACTGTGAGTCCCTCCCAAGGAATGAATGCTCCCGCTACCAATTTTAAGTTCCTGGAGGAATCCTTGTGGGGGAGGGGGAAGCTTGAGGAGACGGAATGGATGCAGGTCTATTCTCAAAACCTAGGGAGACACTATTGATTGGCATTTAAGAAATTTCTGGCTGAAATTAATCCTCCACTCAATTTAATAAGCATTTATTTGTGCATCAGTTTGAAAATTTTCAAGGAAAGAATCTGTTCTCATGTTCAGAAATTAACAACAGAAATAACCATTCAAAGCATGTCTGTTTACTCCATAGCTGAATCCAGTCAATACGAATGGATACCATTGTTTTAAAGTTGGTAGAAATACATATTTTAATAATAAATTGATCACATTTCTACAGAAGAAACCACCTAGGGAGGCAGATAACAATAGAGTTTGGCTGCTTCTGCCTGGTCACTGGGGAGCAGCAATGTAGCCCATGTACTTATTATAGAAGAAGGCTAAACTGACCCAAAAAGAAAATCTTAATGATTTGCATAGTATTTTGCATACAATTTGCATGTGATTCACTTAAGGTCAAATTACCTAGAGGTTCTAGTTCATTCCTTGATCTTTCCCCCTTGTGATATGATTTGAGAGGACTAAAAATCTCCCTCCTCCACATCTCTTCACTGTTTCTAAAATCCCCGCTATCCTCATCTCCTTAAGAGCTTTGGGAGGGCACTAGTGTTTTGAGTGGGCTGGGGCACCATGTTAGCTTGGAGAGGTAAGCTACAGGCTAACTAAGGTTTTAGGCAAAGATGGACTTGCTGTGTGGATCCACCTATTGTCCCTTAGCTGAGAGGAAGGCCCTGAGAAATGACTCACAGGAAAGGAGCATTTTTTGGAAGAGAGACTTGGGGGGGAAAGGAAATGGGTAAAATTTGAAGCTTGGACCAATGCCCTGTGGGTGCTTTAGGGCTGTGGCTGGGTGGGAATCTTTGGGAGAGGAATGAAGGCATTAGGGATATAGTAGGGAGAAGAGAGTACTGGAAGGAGGTGGAGAAGGAAGCGAAAGGTAGACTAACAGATTTAACTTATTCCAATTTGGCCTACAGTCCAACCTGTCCCTCTCATCCTATTGTTCCTCTAGGCCCTGATCTCTTGGGGTGACTTTAGGCCAGGTCATTCCTGAGGGAGAAGGCCCAGCACAACTTTACTGTGCGACCCACAACTCCATTAACGTTTTGATCCAGCTGACATCAGGTTTTGATGGATAGCAAGGGCAGTCTGGAAGGGGATAGGAAATCCTAAAAGGGCAGCCTAGAGCCTAGGGGGCACGTAGGAAGTGGTAAATGAGTTAGGTTGTCAAGCAAGCAAACCCATGTGGTGAGGGGAATGATGTGACCAGAGTGGATTAGGTGGGAGCTCTAGAGTTTTAAAAAGCTGGGTTCAAATCTGAACCCTGGTGCTTATCATGTGACCTTGGGCAAGTAATTTAATCTTCTGGGCCTCAGTTTCCTTATTTGTAAAATGAGGAGGTTAGACTAGATGACCTCAATAGTTCCTTCAGATTCTAAACCTATCTTCCTACTACCAATTTCTCTTCTTTTCCCTCCCCAATTCCTCCAGATCTAACTCTCTGTGTCCCAAATCAGGGACCAATATCTTGATTTGTTGCAGCCCAGGGTCATCCCCAGGCCTGGCTGTCCTGGCAATATGCCTGGCCTGCCTGCCAGCTCTTTGACTTCTTTATCCATAGGTCGGTGGGATCAAAATGACCCAGTTGTTTGGTGAGGTCACAGAGCTGCCCCTGATGCCCTTTGGACTGGCCAGGTTCGATGGCGTCCTGGGCCTGGGCTACCCTGCCCGATCAATGAGCGGAATCCTTCCTATCTTTGACAACATCATTTCCCAAGGGGTGCTGAAGGAAGAAGTCTTCTCTGTCTACTACAGCAGGTGAGGCTTTTCTTTGGGGATGGGCTTCCAGTCTCCAAGTAGGAGGAAAGAAGGGGAGTTGTGCCTATGACCATCCTCTCTGCTGGAGCAAGATGGGCAGGAGGTCTCATTTCCAAAAGCCTGGGGAAACCTCTGTGGAGTCCAGAGTTCCTCAGAGAGACAGTTGAACCCTTGGCCCATGCTAATGGGAGGGCATCCCATAATGAGATATCATGGAAAAGTTATATTTATTTAGCTTGAGAAAACATGGTTTTGTACATCCACACAAGTATGTGTAACTTAACCTTTGTCTAAGCTTTGCACTTTATAAAAACACTTTATACCCATCTATTTGCTCCTTACATAACATTGTGAGAAAGATAGGGCATGGGTTATTACCCTCATTTTAAAGGTGAAGAAAACTGAAGTTCCTATAGATGAAGCCAATTAGGATTATAAAACCTAGAAGTCAAAGGACCTAGGATCATCTAGTTCAGGGGTTCTTAAATTGGGGTCCATGAATCTCCCAGGATTCTGTGGATAGATTTCAGGAGATTCATGAACTTGGATGGGAAAAAAAATTACGTTTAATTTATCATTTCCTTCAATTATTCAAAACATTATTCTAAGAAGGAATCCTTAGGCTACACAAGACTGACAAAGGGGTCTAGGACACAAAAAAGGTTAAGAACACATTATCTAGTCCAGTAGCATCATTTTACAGATGAGGAGACTGAGGCCCCGAGAGGGAGAGCACCTTGTTATTGTTGTTCTGTGGAAAGTGGTTTGAGAACTGTAAAGTGCTGTTGAAACAACTTAAGGTTTATGAAGTGCTTGGCACATGGTGTTTTGTGGGATCTTTACAACAGCCATGTGAGGTGATGTTATTATCCCTGCCCCATTTTACAGATGAGGACATTGGGGTTCAGAGAGGATAACTTCGACTTGCCCCTAGTCATACAGTTATCATGAGATGATAGGTTTAGAGCTGAAAGGGAACTTAGAGGTCATTGAGTCCAACCCCTTCATTTTGCAGATGGGGAAACTGAGGCCAAAAGGTTAAGTAACCTATCCAAGATCACACAGGTTAAGGGGTAGAACCAAGATTCAAATGGAGAACATTTAGCTCCAAATCAAGTGTTCTTTCCACTATGCCATGCTGCATGGTAGTAATCAAACCCTGTTCTCACCTGACTCCAGGTCGAAGGTTCTTTATATTATGCCTTTTAGATTTGCCCAAGGTCACACAGTTGAGTTAGAAGAGTGGGATTCAAACTCAGGTCTTCTGATTGAAAATTCAGTCTTCTTTCCAGTGCACCTTGCTGTTTTTACTTACCCAAAGCCAGAACTAAATCCCAGATCTTTTGGCTCCAAGAACGGTGTTTACCTACATATATGGTAAAGATGTATATGGAAAAGATATTCTAGGCAGGGGAAATTTTGTGATGTTCTGTAATCTCTATAGATATGCGTGTGTGTGTGTGTGTGTGTGTGTGTGCATGAGAAGTAATGCAGGATGGTGGGTAAGAGTGCTGAACTCTAAAGTCTGAAAGACTTGGGTTTAAGTTCTCTCTTTGACACCTACTCTGTAACTTGGAGTGAATCACTTTCACCTCTTGGGAAGCACTGAGCAACTCCCTAAAACTGTAAGCAACAGACCAGTGCCAATCTGCTTTGATGGAGGGACTGCTCTCCCCTCATCAGGAGTTCCATAGATCAGTTAAATCGAAGGTCTTTAATACACGCCTCCCCCCCCCAAAACAAAACAAAACAAAACAAAACAAAACTCAACAATATAGCCAGAGATTAACACAGTGTTTTACTGGTAGGTGCTAGATAACTATTCAGTGACCAAATGTATATCCCAGAGTCCCAGGAGTGGGGAACCTGCGGCCTTGAGGCCACAGGTTCCCCACCCCTGTTAGACAAATCCTTTTTCCTCTCTTGGTCTCACTTTCCCTCTCTGAAAGATGAGAGGTTTAGATTAGATGATCTTTGAGGTCCCTAATGACTAAAACATTCTATAGATCACACAAAGACAGACATATATGTCAGGATACAAACCCACACATACACACATAACTCATGCACATATATAGCCACACAGGGACCAAAATTCTCTCATAGAACTCTTTCCCCTTCCCATGACCATCAATCATCATTGACATTTCCACCAAGTTCTGTTTACTGACATGGCATAGTGAATAGAGCACTGGACTTATAATTGAAACACCTACCTACAGTACTTATTAATTTGGAGATCTTGGGCAAGTTATCACATTTCTCTGAGACTTAGTTTTTTTCATCTGTAAAATGGGGATAATAAGAATCCTTGCATTACAGAATTGCCATGAGGAAAGTTTGATCAACTCTAAAAATGTGAGGTTTTATGACCCAACACACTGGAGACTAAAGAAGGATAATACAACATCTTAGGCCTTCTAAGTCCTAGCTAAAGAGGCATTATATGCACATAGGATCATAGATTTTTCAACTGGGAGGAATCTTAGATATCATCTTCATGGGGATGGAGGTGGGATTTCTGGAACCCAGAAGGGGTCTGTGGATAGTTTTCAGTGCATCCATGAACCTAGGATGGAAACAAAAACCCTTTATTTCAAAATAGTTGGTTTCCTTTGAAGTCATATGCATCTTATACATTTGAAAATATTATTTTAAGAAGGGATCCATTGGCTTTATCAGACTACTTAAGGCATCCATGACATACACAAAAAAGTTAAGAACCTCTGGTCTAGACTAAACCTTGATTTTATAGGTGAGAAGATTGAGTCACAGAAAGTTAAATGATTTCCCCAAGTCCATACAGGTAGAACTAGGGTTAGAACCCAAGTCTTCCAACTCTAAAGCTAGCACTCTTTTTGACTGATAAACCTAACTACTTAACAAGACCAAATAGCATATGGTAAGAGTGACAATGACCATTATGGGAAAGCAGTATATAAGCTAAAAAGAGGTCAAAGTGGAGTCAGAAAACCTAGGTTTGAATCTTGGCTCTGCTACTTACTTAAGTAGCCTTGAGATAAGTTTATAACCTCTGTGAGTCTCAGTTTTTTCATATGTAAAATGGATGGATTATGAGATCCCTGAGCTCCCTTTCAGTTTTGGATTCTAAGTGTTAGGAGGAACCATCACTGGGTTGGGAGCTGGAGCCCTTGTAGAAGGCCACCAGACACAAGAGACATTAGACTTTGGATTTGAAGAAATGGTAGATCTTAGATGATAGGAGGGAAGGGGGGAGGAAACTTTGTTCAAAGAATTCTGAGGCAGAAAGGCAAATGCCATGTTTGGGGGGAAAATAAGGTTTGAGTAGAGGATTTGTTTTGGAGAATAGTAGGAGATAAGATTGAAGAGGAAAATGCTAGCTATTAAGAGGTAAGCTACTTTAAATGCCGTGATGAAGCATTTGGACTTGGTCTCATGAATAAGGAGCAGCTATTGATGGGTTTTGAACTGGAGATGAGGGAAGAAGAAATCATGTACAGAAAGCTGAATTATTAGAAAATTAAACTGGCAGCTGCTCTGCCTTGGATGGATTGGAAGGGAAAGACACGAGAGGCAGAGAAAGCAATTAAGGAGCTATTAAATAGTCCAGGGGTGTGATGATGAGGACCTGGATTGAATGGCAGCTGAGATAGTGGCAGTGGAAAGGGAGGAAGATGGATTCTGGAAACATGAAAAAGAAAGACTCTGAAGGACATAATAATGACAGAAGGGGCCGAGAGAGGAGTCAAGGATGACTCTTAAGTTTTTAGCATGGGTGAATGGGAAAGTAGTGATACCCTGATAAGTGAAGCAGTGAAATCCAGAAGGGATGGACTAATATGGATGGAAAGATAATTAGTTTGGCTCTAGACACATTGGAGAGACAGAATAGAGACAGACATAGTGGATGGAGAGCCAACTAGGAAGACCTGGGTTCAAATGCTGCATCTGATATATATTGGTTGTGTGACCCTGGGAAAGTCACTTAACCACCCAGTGCTCTAGGCCAAAGGTGTCAAACACAGTCTCCCATGCTGTCACAACACTCTAGAGCAGGGGTGGGGAACTTGTGGCCTCAAGGCCACATGTGACCTTCTAGGTCCTCAGGTGCAGCCTTTTGAATCAGTCCAAATTTTACAGAACAAACTTTTATTAAAGAGTTTAATAATAAGGTGATAATAATAAAGTAATAATAAGGGTTTAACCTTTAATGTTAATTAATATTAAGAGGTTTGATAATAAGGTAATAATAATAATGTGATGATAATAATAAGGGTTTAACCCTTAATATTAATTAATATTAAAGGGTTTAATAATAAGGTAATAATAATAAGGTAATAACAATAATGTGATAATAATAAGGGTTTAACCCTTAATATTAATTAATATTAAGGGGTTTAATAATAAGGTGATGATAATAATAAGGTAATAATAAGTGTTTAACTCTTAATATTAATTAATATTAAAGGGTTTAATAATAAGGTAATAATAATAAAGTAATAATAAAGTAATAATAATAAGGGTTTAACCCTTAATAAAAGGGTTTCTTCTGTAAAACTTGGATTCAGTCAAAAGATTGCACCCGGGGACCTAGAAGGTCACATGTGGTCTTGAGGCCACAGGTTCCCACCCCTGCTCTAGAGTATAGTCTAACCAGATTAAAATGTAATTAGGAAATTTTTAACAAAACAAAATATAGTAAAACATAGATAATGTTAACACGTGGTTTTCCAAGTCAATATGCACTCCAAATCCCTATATCCTTATGTATTGCTTAATGGCCTTATTTGAATTTCAGTTGCTCTGGATAGCTCACTAAGATTACTGAGTAGGCAGAGGGAGTTCCCTTACCATGGAGACCCCTATACCAATGGGATCAATGTGGTTCCTATCCCTATCCTTCAGAACTCTGGATTCATGCAACAACATTCATTTGACATGCATTTTTAAAGTTCTTGCTGGATGCAGAGCACTGTGCTATGCGCTGGAGAAATTATAAAGGTTAGGTTAGATGCAGTTCCTCACTTTAGGGAGTTAACAGACTAGTTGGGGAGTAAGACACAGACAAGATAAATTGCAAAGCATGACATCACACAAGTACATTAGAGAGTGCAAAGAATTTGAGGTCATGTCGATAGAAATGTCCATCCAGTAGACAGATGGAGTGAAATTGGGGTAGAGAGGGAGATGTGATAGTCATCTGCATAGAAGTGACAGTTGAAGCCATGAGAATGGATGAGAAATCTGAAGGAGAATATAAACCAAGAAGAAACAAAAAATCAGGGTTGACCACGGAGTCTTGGTGTATATTATTATGGATAGGAACTTGTGCTGGCAAAAGGCCCAGAGAAGTGACCAGGGAAGTAGCAAGAGAGCTAAGTCAATGCTGTATCATGGAAGCCCAGAGGGAGAAAGGTTTGAATGGACCAATAGGGTCAAACAAAGAAGAGAGGTCAAGGAGAATGAGGGCTGGGGAAAAACCATTGGGTTTGAGGATTAGAAGATCACTGCTGACCTTGCAAAGATAATCCTAGTATTACAAGGACAAAGTTAACATTAGTAGAAGCCAGGGTATAAGGAGTTAAAAAGACTGAGTGAAATATCACCCTGTATGATTTAAAGAGACATTGAGTGATGAGGAAAAGAAGGCCGAGAGGGTGAGAAATTGCTGGTGAAAGAAGAAAAAAACCAGAGTGATAACTCCAGCATAGCAAAGTTCAAGGGAAATTTATGTAGCTGTTTTTAATTTTTTATTAATTTATTTTGAATTATCAACAATCAGTTCCATAAGCTTTTGAGTTTCAAATTTTTCTCCCTCTCCCTCCCCACCTCCCTCCCCAAGATTGTGCACAATCTGATATAGGTTATACATATACATTCCTATTAAACATTTTCACATTAGTGATGTTGTAAGTAAGAATTTGTTTTTAATTTTTTTAAAAAGAGATACTTTAAAAAGAGACCTGAGTTGTTTGTGGGCAGAGGAGAGTCAGTGGAGAAGAAGAGATGGAAAAATTGAGAGGAAATGTTTGATGGGAATCAAGAGGTAGAGGTATTAGCCTTGGAAGGGAGGAGAGATCGTTCTTCCTCTATGACTGGACAGCAAGGAGAAAGAATGGATCTAAAGGGCGTGGCTATCATATTTGTAGATGACACAAAGTTGGGATTGGATAATTGCCACTGTAAAATGACAGAGTCTAGGATCCCAAAAGATCTCAATGCACTAGAACCTCTAATAAGATGAAATTTAATAGGAGTCCATACAAAGTGTTGCATGGTTTAAAAAAAATCAACTTTGCAGGTACAAAATAGGGGGTGGTACTTTTATTGAAAAAATTTGGGGGCATTAGTGGATTCATGGGAGGATATTACAGCCCAAAAACAATTGTGATTTGAGGCTGCATAGCTTCCAAGAAGAAGGAGGTGATAGTCCTACTGACCAGTCTTCTGACTTGGAAAAACTACATCTGGAATAGTCTGTTTGGTTCTGGGAACCACAGGACAAGGAAGATGTTGACAATCTGGAGCAAAAGAGGGCAACCACAGTGGTAGAGAATCTTGAGTCATGAATGTTTAACTGGGAAAAAAGAAGGCTAGGCTGGAGGGAATGGGGAACATGAGAGCTGTCTGAGAGTAGTATAGGCTGCTTTGGGAGATGATGATTCCCTCTCCTTGAAGATCTTAAAAGCAAAGATTGAATGGACACTTGTAAGATATGGGATAGTGGAGACGCCTTTCAGGTATGGGTTGGACTAGAGCAGTGGTACCAAACTCAGATAGAAAAGATACATAAGGATCCCTATGAGTCACATATTGACTTAGACAACCACAGATTGGTATCACCTGTGTTTTATTCTATTTTCATTTTGTTAAATATTTTCCAATTACATTTTAATCTGGTTCCTAACTCAAGTACTGTGGGACACATGGGGCCGTGTTTGATACCTACCTCTCAACACCTTTTAGATGACCTCTGAGGTCGCCTCCAATTGTAAATTGTAAAATTCTATAATTCCGTGAAGATGCAAAGAAATTTTGAAGTGAAATGAAGGTACATTCAACCACAGTTGAATGGAGCATAGATGGGTTGTGGGTTGTGGGCTATGATCTACACCTTTGGCAGGAGTGGCCTCTTCTACTATTATAGATCATACATCCAACAAAGTAGGAAGGAGGTTGAGGGCAGAGAGAGTTGGAGGTGCAGAGAAAAGGAGGGAGTTTATAATGGCATATGCGCGCAGTGGCAGGCATACACACAAGTGCACACACTCACGTGAAACCTTGCTCCCATTCTGGGTTCTGAAACACACCCTACCCTTTTCCAAGGGAGCTAAACTTGGGAGCAATAATCAGTGAGATGTGTGCTGAAGTCTGTGCGGTACCGTGGTTAAAACACACTGCTAGAGATATTCTGAGGGTCAAATAAGATCGTAACTGTGAAAGGGACCAGGGATGGGAGTGGCCAAAAAATGCCTTCAACTCTTCCATGTCTCTTTACAGGAATTCCGAGTGAGGAGACAAGCCCACCCGACATGGCTCAGATCCTCCAGCTTCCCTGACCCTGTGCTTCCTTAGTAGCACGACCCCAAGTCACACACTCTACCAGCCCAGAGAGGCCCCAAAAAGGCCCATAGCTGGGGCTCATCAGAGGCTGCATGCTGATATTCTCTGTGCCATCCCCACTCACCCCCCCTCCCCGGTTTTGGTCACAGTTCTCTGCATTCCTAACCTACCTTCCTCCTCAGCCTTCCCAGAATCTTCCCAGGCACCAAGCCCCACTCTACGGGGTCTGTGCCTGAGAGTGCCTATGGGAAGAGAATGAGTGCTAATTTGCATCTCATTTTCATGGTGCTCATTTGCACATCTCCATCCCTGTTCCTTTTCTACTAATTCCTGCAGTGACTGCTGGGTCAGGTTGGGCTGACCCAGCCTGGAAAAATTAGACCTGTCCAAAAGTGGCATGGGCTGATTCGGGAGGAATTGAGTTGTCCCATAACGGGGTCTTTCAAGTGAAGTTTCAATGGTCACTTATTGGAGGCCCTGAAGAAGGGCTCTTTATTCAGGGATATAGTGGAGTAGCAGGCCCATGGGGTCCCAACTATGTGACCCGGGAAAGGAGGAGATGGGCTCCTGAGGGAAATGCATGTTCCCTGCCCTTACTCTCCCACGCTGCTTACTGCCTCCTGTCTCCCATGGCCCTTTCCAATGCTTAGCACAGCGCTTGACACTCAGTAGACGCTTAATAAATGTTTGTTGACATGACTGTCTTTCTCCAGCTCCTTTCCCCAATTTTTCCTTGACCTGTGGTCCTTGGGCCTCAGTGTAAAAAAGACTGTCATCTATCCTCCAGGAATTCACATCTGTCAGGTGGAGAGATTGTACTAGGAGGCACCGACCCTAACTATTACCGAGGGACCTTCCACTATGTCAACATCAGCCGTCCAGGTTTCTGGCACATCCAGATAAAGGGGTCAGGAATCACCATTGATTCTAATTTCATCCCACCTCCCCCTGCCCCTGAAATTCAGACATAGGTCATGTAGGCCAGCACAAGAGCTCGCGTCATGCACTTTTCTAAATTCAGACACCTCTGGGTTGTCTTATCTGCCCACTAATATTCTTCAGTAGAGACCACTGCCATAGATATTAACACAAGTAGATATTCATTCATGAAAAGGAGGGATGAAGAGGCAGAGGAAGTATTCCCAAGGTACTTGGAGAAAGGTGAGAATGGGGAGGTCCTATCAATGCAAGGCATTGGCAGCTTGATAAAAATAAGAGAGTGCTAGAATTGGTATGAGAAGACCTGGGTTTAAATCCTGGATTTGACAGCTACTGGCTACGTGGCCTTGGGCAAGTAAAATGCTCTGTGAGCTCCAGTTGCCTCAGCTGTAAAATGGGAATAACAGTACTTCTACTGTACCTCCTTCATAAGGTGGTTATGAAGAAATGCTTTGCAAACATTAATTGCCATAATGACTTCCTTCTGTCTCTAATCCACGGAAGCTCTAGTCCCCCTTCTTCTAGGAAGCCTCACCAGTTTCAGCTCACCTATTTTCCATCTATATGGTATATTTTCTGAATCACTCTACCATATATTTGGAGCACTACATCTCCCCCCTCCTTTACCCAAATATCAACTCCCTGAAGGCAGGGACTATATTTGTTCTTTGATCTGTCCCTAAGCTCCTACTCTGAGGCTCCAAGTCTCTGGGGGTGGGGTCAGTGGCTGACTCTGTTGGTTTGTGAGCCCTCTGTCTCTGGCCTTCCCATACAGGGTGGCTGTCAAGTCCAACGTGCTGTTCTGCCAGGAGATTTGCACGGCAGCTGTGGACACTGGAGCTTCCTTCATCACAGGTCCAACCAGCTCTATGAAGAAACTAATGAAGACACTGGGAGTTAAGGAAGTAGGGCACCAGGTGAGCAAGCCAAACTGGGAAGAAGAGAGTGGGTGGCTACAGAAAAACAAAGGCTGGGTAAGAACCAGGGCCCTGAGGTCCCTTTCCCAGAGAATGGAAATAGCAGCAGGGGGCTAGTTGTTATCCCAAACGTGGCTGTCCCATTTTAGCCTTTCCCTCCCCCTAGAAATGCAACATTTACTCCTAGATTATCATAGATGTCAGAGTTTATAGGAACTGCAGATGTCTTCATTCTATCCTGTGTAGAAATTCAATCCATAGAATCCCTTAAAGGTGTTTATCCAGATGCTTCTGGAATACTTCCATTGATAGGGAGCTTACCACCTTAGACAAGATAGCCATTCCCATTTATTCAGGCAGTTCAACTATTAGAAAGTTCTTCCTTAGATTGAGCCAAAATCTGCCTCTCTATAATATCCAGCTGGGGAAGCTAGGTGGCGCACTGGATGGAGCTCTGACCTTGGAGTCACAAGGACCTGAGTTCAAATCAGCCTCAGACACGCGACACTTACTAGCTGTGTGGCCCTGGGCAAGTCACTTAACCCTGATTGCCTCGTCAAAAAAAAAAAAAAAAAAGCTAAGAATATAATGTCCAGCTATTGGAACAGGTGGAATTTGCAATTTTTCAAAAAAATATTTGAAGGGAGAAATAAAGATTTGTTCTACTTCGCCCCAGAGGGCCATTGTTACGAGCAATGAATGGAAGTTGCCTAGCCAGATTTTGGTTCAATATAAGAATAAATGTCCAAATTTTTTTTAAATTGTTGTTGTTCAGTTGTTTCACTCTTCATGACTCTATTTGGGGTTTTCTTGGCAAATATACTGGAAAGGTTTGCCATTTTCTTCTAAAAATTAGGGCTGCCCAAAAAGTGGAATGTGCTGCCTCCACTGAGAATAAATTCCCTATTACCAGAGGAAGCATGTCATCACCTGGTAATCATTTGATGGATATGCTATAGAGCACAACTAACTGGCAAACGTTTGTTTAACAGAGAGATAAAAAATATAATACCACATAGATAAGTTTACTTTGTAGTTTTCTATTTAATTTTGACACCATTACTATCGAGGCAGAAGAGTTTCCTAATTCAGATTATAGGTGAAGCTAAATGGCCTCTCAGGGTGCTTTCTACTCTGACTTTGTGTAAGTTCCTGAGACCAGATAGACGCTGAGAGAGGGAACACCGATGAATACCTCAGCCCTTTCTTACTGACCTATGGACCTACCAACCTAGAATGCCTGGATCTCACGTGAACCTTGGGGCCCTTTCTGCCCACAGTATCTTGTAGAATGTGACCTGGCGCCCACGCTGCCTGATATCTCCTTCTACCTTGATGGCAAGGCCTTCACCCTCCACAGTTCTGACTATGTCTTAGAGGTGAGCTTCTGGGTCATTTTTTTATCTGATTGCCTGTGTCTCTCTTTCTCTTTCTACCTCTATCTCTTTCTTTGGAGTGAGGGGCTGTGAGAGATAGGCATCAGCTATAGGGCTGGGAACCAGGATTGGTGGAAGGGGGCTGAGTATAGAGCTAAAGGTGCTCCTGCCCTCCCTCCACTAAAAATGGGTTCATTTACTAACTAGCCCCAAGGTGGTAGGAAAAAGGGGAAGTTCCTAGGATGATTCATTTAAAGTGTGAAGGGACCTCAAAAGCCATCTAGACCAATCTTCTTATTTTACAAATAAGAAAACTGAGGCTCAGGGAATTTAAGTGATTTGTCTATGACTACAAAGCTAGCAAGTGTCGGAAGTGGGATTTGAACTCAGATCTTCCTGACTCTAGGTTCAGTGCTTTGCTTGCTACAAAGAAGAATGGCACAATAGAAATAATAACACATTTCTTCAGCACTTCAAGGATTATCAAGTGTTTTTATCCTAACAACCCTGTAAGGTTGGTAGTATAAGTATTATTTCCATTTTACAGATGAGGAAACAGGCTCAGAGACATGCCCAAGTGACTTGCCCAAGGTCATACAGCTAGATGAAGAAATAGCTCTGTCCTAGGCTTTCTTCTCTTTCTATACTCTCTCTTGCTGATCGCAGCTCTTGTGGGTTCAATTATAATTGATACATGAAAGGGGCAGTTAAGTGGTGCAGTGGATAGAGTACCAGCCCTGGAGTCAGGGGGACATGAGTTCAAATCTAGCTGTGTGACCCTGGGCAAGTCATTTAATCCCAATTGCCTCCAAAATAATAGTAATTGATACATGAATCACTCCTAAATGACTGTAACTAATCCTAATCCTGAAGGTTAGTCTCAACATCTCCAAATTCCTGCCAGATACCTTCACTTGAATGTCCTATCAGCATCTCAAACACAACATGTCCAAAATAGAACTTATCAGGGCAGCTAGGTGGCGCAGTGGATAGAGCACCGGCCTTGGATTCAGGAGGACCTGAGTTCAAATCCGGTCACACACACAAAACACTTACTAGCTGTGTGACCTGGGCAAGTCACTTAACCCCATTGCCTAACCAAAAAACAAAACAAAAAAAAACCCAAAAACAAAAATGGAACTTATTATTTTCCCCCTTAAAATGCTTGTTTTCACTGTATATTAAGACTACCAGTCTTCAGTCACCTGGGTTCAAAAGTTCTGCATCATCCTTGTCTTTTTCCTTTCTTCTCCCCACCTCCAGCTAGTCAACTACCAGGTCTGCTAGTCTATACCTTGCCTTCTCTTCCATCCATCCATCTCTCCTTTCTACTTACAGAGACACCACCATTATTCAGGCCCACATCATCTCTCACCTGGTGATTGCAAAAGCTTCTTTAAAAAAAAAAAAGGTTTTTATTGATATTTTCTTTTTCTTACATCGCCATAGTAACCCCAAGTATCCCTCCCCCTCCTGGAGAGTCATCTCATATGACAAATAGTATTTTTTTAGAAAGGAAAATAAAAGGTCAGCACAACGGATTGATACATTGAAAAAGTCTGAAAACATGTGCCATGTGTTCCTGTGGACCTCCCACCTCCATGAAGAAGTGAGTTGGGAGTGTCCTCTCATGTGAGCTTTATAATTTTGTTACATTTATTTTTGATTTTTTGGAGTGTGGTTGTTATTTCTATTTACATTGTTGCAGTTATTGTGTATATTGTTTTCTTGGCTCTGCTTGCTTCACTCTGGGTCAGTTCATATAGATCTTTCCATGCTACTCTGTATTCATCACATACATCATTACTTATAACCTAGTAATATTCCATTATATTCATATACCACAATTTGTTTAGCTATTCCCCCAATTGATGGGAATCTACCTTGTTTCCAATTCTTAACTATCTGAAAAAGTGCTTCTATAAATATTTTGGAAGATATGAGGACTTTTTCTTATTGATAACTTCCTTGGAGTATAAGCCCATTTAGTGGAGTCCCTGGTTCAAAGAATATGGACATTTTAGTCATCTTATTTGAATAATTCCAAATTGCTATCCAAAATGATTGTACCATTTCACAGATCTACCAACAATGTAGTAGTTCTATACAACTCCCTTCAACATTGACTGTTGCCATTTTGGGGTCATTTTGCCAAATTACAGGGTGTGGGCTAAGATTTCAGGGTTGTTTTGATGTGCATTTCTGTTATTAGTGATTTGGGAGCAATTTTTTTATGCAGCTATAAATACTTTGCAGTTCTTCTTTAGAGAACTGTTTGTTAATATCCTCTGACCATTTATCTATTAGGGAATGGCTATTAGTCATATATATAATGTTTATATATCTTATATACCAAGCTCTTCTCAGAGAAATTTGATACAAAGATTTTTTTTGCCATTCAACCAATTCCCTTTTTATCCTGTATACATTAATGTCCGTACAGAAGCTTTTTCAGTTTCAAGAGATCATTTATCTGTTTTATCTTTTGTAATTCTTTTTATTTCTTATTTAGTTAAGAATACTTCTCCTACCCATGGCCATGAGAAGTACATGATGCTTCTCTTCTAACTTTTTATAGTTTTTTAAAAAATTTTATGCATCTTTAGTATCAAGTTCACATATCCACTTAGAATGTATTGTGGAATATGATATAAGGTATTAGTCTAAGCCTAACTTCTGCCAGACTGCTTTCCAGTTTTGCTGGCAGTTTTTATCAAATGGAATTTTTCCTAAGGCAATTTATGTTTTCCACTTTGTCAACATTGGGTTATTGAGTTCCATTGTTTCTGAATCTCTCTCCCCCCCCCCATCTCCTTGTTCTTTAGACAATTCCAGATAATTTTGATGACTGCTGCTTTATTATATAATCTGTGGTCTGGAAGTGTTATTCCCCTTTTGTCCCTATTTCTTTTCATCATTTCCCTTGATATTCCAAATCTTTTATTTTTCCAAATGAACTTTATTATTATTTTATTATGTCTTGTAAAGTATCCCCTTAGTAATTTGATTGAGATAGCATTAAAAGTGTAAATTAATTTTGGTAGCATTACCATTTTTATTATATTGGCTTGGCCTAGTCATGAACATTGAATATTGCTCCAGCTATTTAAGTTCTTTATTTCCTCAAGAAGCACTTTGTAATTGAATTTATGCAAGTCTTTTGTGCCTTTTTGGAGGTTGATCTCCAGATATTATATGAATTTTGTCATTATTTGGAATGGGATTTTTCTTTCTATTATTGATTTTTGTGTTTTGTTATTATATAGAAATGCTATTAATTTTTGAGGATTATTTTGTAGCCTGCAACTTTGTTGAAACTATTGACTGTCTCAATTGGTATCTTTGCTGATTTCCTACGATTTTCCAAAAAAGCATTATGTTATCAACAGAGAGTTTTATCTCTTCTTTACTGTATTTCTTTAATTCATTTCTTTTGTCTTATTGCTATTGCTAGCATTCTCAGAACTGTATCAAATAATAGTGGAGAGAGTGGACATCCTTGCCTCTTTCTTGTATTCACTGGGAAAAGTTCTAGCATGTTCCCATTGAATATGATGATCTCTTGGTTATAGACAGATGCTTTTCATAATACTAAAAAAAGGCTCCCATATATGCCTATATTTTACAGGGTTTTTAGTATAAAAGAATCTTATACTTTGGCAAAGGCTTTTTCTGCATCTATTAAGATGCTTTTGTGGTTTGGGATGTTTGGGTTTTCAGTAACTCTCAGGTGCTGCGTAGCACAGAGGATAAAATGCTGGCCTGGAGTCAGGAAGACCTGAGTTCAAATTCTGACTCAGATGTCTACTAGCTGTGCGACCCTGGACAAGTCACTTTAATCTCTGTTTGCCCCCATTTCCTCATCTGTAAACTAGGCTGATAATAGCAGCTCACTCCCAGGATTATTGTGAATATCAAATGAGATGTATGTGAAGTGCTTAGCAAAGAGCCTGGCACATAGAAAGCACTACATAAATGTTAGCTATCATTATTATTATTAATTATGTTGATTATTTTCCTAATGTTGAACCATCCTTTCTTCCCTGGTATAAATTTTACTTGATCATAATGAATGAATTCTTGGATAAATCACTGTAATATTTGATAGACCTTTATATAAATTGAGTCAATGTTCATTAATGATATTGGCTTATAGTTTTCTTTTTGTGCTTTATCTTTCCCTGATTTAGGTATTAGGACTATATTTGTCTCATGAAAGAATTCTGTTAGGGTGCTTTACTCCTCAATATTTGAGAGTAATTTGTGAAGTATGAGTATTAAATGCCCTTTAAAAGTTTTATAAAATTCTCCTGTGAACCAGCTTTTAGTTTTATCATTTCTTGTGGGGTTTTTTGTTTCCAATTTATTTCTTTTCCCTCAAATTTTTAATAGCCTCTTAACTGGTCACCTTGCTCCCAGTTTCTTCCCTCTCTGATATATTCACAACTGCTAAAATAATATTCCTAAGGCACAGCTGTGACCCAGTCAGTCTTTTGCTCAAAAATCTCCAATGGCTCCCCACTTCCTCTGGGATATTAGCCATTTTCATGCCTCGTATAAACCTCATAGATTACAATACTCCTTTCCCTCTTTGATAAAATGCAAACTTCTCTGACTCCCATCTACCTTTTCCAGCCTTATTTCACGGGACTGTCCTGTACAAACTCTATGTTTCAACCAAACTGGAAACTCGAATTTCCATCTCCATGTCTCTGCAGAGTCTATCCCTCATGCCTAGAATTTTTATCTTTTCCACCTCCACCTTTTAGAATTCTTGCCTGAATTTAAAGCTCAGCTCAAGTACAACATCCGAAGGGAAATTTTTCCTTATACTCTCTGGTTGTCAGTGCTCTTTCCTCTTCAAATTACATTGTATTTATTTATCTATACATGTATTGTGTCATATCCAGTACAAAGTGGCCCCTTAAGAACAGATACCTATAAGCATAGCACAACCAATCACATATGGCTTTAGGTTTGTTGAATTGAATTGAATTTAGAAACCTGGATTCTAGGGCCTGCTCTCCCACTAGGAAGCTGCGTAACTTTTGACCACTCATTTCCGTTCTCTGGGCCTTAGCTTCCTCACTTGTAAAATAAGGCAGTTGGACCACAATATCTCTCAATAGCTCCCAGTTTGAAGACTCTATTCAATAGTTCTCTTCTCCAGAGATCAGAGCTCTACATAAGGTAGGGCAGGAGAACCTTGAGCACAAGATAGTCAATGATAGTTGATCTTTGAATCTGGACAAATTTATTTCTCTAACTTCCCTGGTTTCCTCATATAGAAAATGATGATAATAATTTTGCCTTCACTACCTCAGAGTATGTGCAATATAGATATGTGCTAATTACTTATATTTAATATTTATAATTTATTATACTTCTGTTTCTATTCATAATAATTAGCATTTATAAGTATTTCTTATATTTATAATAATTATTACTATTTTAAAGTATGTCTTTATAACTATTAGTATTTATTATATTTATTATTATTATTAAGTGCTTCACCAAGAGATTGCTTCAAGAATTTCTTCTGAGAATTCAGTCGTTCAATTAAAAATAGTCTAAGATGCCTCCAACTTCTTAATAATAATATTAGTTAAGTACCAAAGAATTGTGCAGCTGGGATGGAGAAGAAGGTGTTCAGTAATGCAAATATGCCCACAGATACTACTGGTTAAGAGCGTGGTGAGGGTCTTGTTCAGGACAAGGTCAGTCACCCTAGGTTCTTTCCCCTTCTGAGTCTTAATCTTCTTAGGTTCCCTGACTTTTTCCCATTCAAACTTCTTTAGAAGAGAATCAATCCTGTATTTCTGGAGCAGAAGCCAGAGCTGGATTGGCTATCCTGAATGGAGTAATAGGAAATAATAAGTAACATTTATATGTCACTTTAAGGTTTATAAAGCATTTTATATTTATTATTTCATTTGTTGAGATAGGTTTAGGCTGGGAATTTTCCTGGTGGCTATCCCCTTAAATGAGGCCATTAGTGGGGGATAGAGGCAAACGGAGGGAATAATCAGAAATGAATAGCAATGTCTGGATTTTTCAGGTTGAGAGGAAACAGGAAGGAGATAGTGGGACTTATGGAGAAGGGAGAAGTCAAGGTAGTAGAGGGGGTGTAGGGTCCTGAAAAGATGGGTAAGTGAAGAGGTGAGACAGATGCCATAAAGACAAGAGTGTCTGGGACAGGATATTGCTTAACACATAGTGGCAGTTAGGTGGTGCCATGGATAGAATGCTAGACCTGGTGTCAGAAAGACTCATCTTCATGAGTTCAAATCTGGCCTCGGGCACTTACTATGTGACTCTGGGCAAGTTGCTTAACCCTGTTTGCCTCAGTTCCCTCATCTGTAAAGTGAAGTGGAGAAGGAAATAGCAAGCCACTCCAGTATCTTTGTCAAGAAAACCCCAAGTGGGGTCAAAAACAGCTGGACACAACTGAAACAAGTGAACAACAACAAAGGCATTTAATAGTTGATGAATGAATGAATGAATGAATAAGAAGTTAGGAAGGGAAAAGATCAGTGCATCTTAGTCAAAGAAGCTAAACCGAAATTAGAAAAAAGAAACCAACAGAAAAGAGGTTTTATAGGAGTTCTTAAAATGGACAGGGATTGGACTAGTTCAGTGACATCTATCTCAAACAGAAACAGATCTCACGTTGTTCAGTAATTTTTCAGTCATGTCCAACTCCTCGTGACCCCATTTGGGGTTTTCTTAGCAAAGATACTGGAGTGGTTTGTTATTTCCTTCTCTAGATCATTTTACAGATAAGGAACTGAGGCAAACAGGGTTAAGTGACTTGGCCAGGGTCACATAGTAAGTGTCTGAGGTCACATTTGAACTCAGGAAGATGAGTCTTCTGACTCTAGGCCTGACACTCTATTCACTTTGCCACCTAGCTGCCCTCTGTGAGCCTCAACCTTCAAAACCCACAAATGAATACTATCTACATTGTATTGTGTTTTTATTTATTTTATTTTGTATTGTGTTTTTGTTTGTTAAACATTTCCCAATTACATTTTGTTTTACATGAGGCCCACAGCAGTGAATTTGACACCTCTGAACTAGGTAAACTCTAGGGTCAGCTAATATTGGAGATAAATGTGAAGTCTTTCACACAGGTTCCAAAAATTAACTTTCCAAGTACAAGAATGGGGAGAAGTAGACAGAAAGTAATTTGACAAAAAGATAAGAGATTCAGTGAACTACATGCTCAAAACCAGTCAACATTGTGATAGAGCAACCCAAAAAGCTGATTCCATTTTAGGCTATTTAATTTAGGTAGTAGTATGAAGAGAGAGTCTAGCTCTGCTGCATCCTACCCTGATTACACCATCAGGAGTACTGTGTTCAGTTGGGGGGGGCACATTTTAGGAAGAACATTGATAAGCTGGAGATTTTTCCAGAGGAAGATAACCAGGATGGCTATCAAGCCAGAAGAAGATCAATTGAAGAGACTCGGGGATGTTTAGCCTAGAAGTGACTTTGGAGGGAGAGTGTGGTGGTAGGGAAATGATAGTTATCTTTAAGTGCTTGAAGGACTGACCTGTAGAAAAAGAATGGGACTTCTTGGCTGGACCCCAGAGAGAAGAACTAGGAAGGTTGGATGGAAGTTGTAAAGAGGTAGAGTGAAGCTTATAAATAGCAGGATCACTGCTGCTGCTGTTTGTCCTTAGTTCTCAAAGAAAACCATGACATCAGGGAGGTGATGCCATGACAAGCAAGTGAATTGGATTTAAGTGAGGGAAGGCTGTGCAAAGTCACCAGCCTCACTTTTTCCTTTGGAGCCATCTGGGTTCAGTGGCCAGGCATGGATCAGGACAACTGGTAATAGCCCAAGATGCAGTGAGGAACCTTGGCCTTTTTTTTTTTAATTAATTTATTTTGATTTATCAACAATCACTTCCATATGCTTTTGAGTTTAAAATTTTTCTCCCTCTCCCTCCCCACCACCCTCCCCAAGATAGCCCACAATCTGATATAGGCTATACATATACATTCCTATTAAACATATTTTCACATTAGTGATGTTGTAAGTAAGAATTAGAACCAATAGCAGGAACCACTAGAAAGAGGAAACAAAACCAAACAACACAACAGAAGAAAAAAAATAGCAAATAGTATGCTTTGATCTGCATTCAAACTCCATAGTTCTTTCTCTGGAGGTGGATAGCATTTTCCATCACGAGGCCTTTGGAGATGTCTTAGATCCTTGTATTGCTGGGAAGGGTTAAGTTTATCAATATTAGTCATCGCACAATGTGGCTGTTATTGTGTACAATGCTCTTCTGGTTCTACTCATTTCACTCAGCATCAGACCATTCAAGTCTTTCAAGGTTTTTGTGAAGTCAGCCTGTTCATCATTTCTTATAGCACAATAGTATTCCATTACATTCATATACCACAACATGTTTAGCCATTTCCCAATTGATTGACCTTGGCCTTTTCAAGCTAAGGTCTTTAACATGTCTCAGTTTGACCGAGGCAGTGCCCATTAAGTGATTAGGGCTTAATTAAAAAAAAATGAGGCAAAGAATGACCTCTTTAAAAAAAAATAGATCTGGGAGGGGAAGACCCTCAGGGTTTTTGGCCAAAATAGAAATAAGTGTTATTTACATTCATTCTGAGCCAATCAGGGCACAAATAGTGACTAAAAAGGGCTTGGTCTGGGACCAGAGTGATTTGGGGTTCAGGCTGGTCTTTAAGAGAAAAAACAAAACAGAACAAAACAAAAGGTTCGGAGATTTAATCCCTAAGGAGCAACCTCCCAAGGTGAGCTAACCCATAGTGGAATGGGCTGATTCAGAAGGCAATGGGTCCTCCCCTTCTAGATTTCTTTTAGCATAAGGTTATATCATAGATGGGATTCTCATTCAAGTACCGGTTGAACTAGATGACTTCTGAACTCCTATCTAACTGAGCTTCTGTGATCCTATCCCTTCCAGTTCCAAGATTCTGTGATTTCATCATAAACAGGAACCAAATGGAAAGATTTGCTAAAAGCCAGGGTCAGGGAAAGAGGGAGGGAGTGAAGGACTTATTAAGGGGCATTGGTCCAAACTAGTCTCTCCTTGCAGGATATGAACAGCCGCAATAATTTCTGCTTGCTAGCTTTCCGTGGCCTGAATGTCCCACCCCCCACAGGACCTCTATGGATTCTGGGAGCAACCTTCATCCGAAAGTTCTACACTGAATTTGACCGGCACAACAATCGCATTGGTTTTGCCTTGGCAGCCTAACCTGCCTCTGCCCATAGCCCAGGTCATGGGGCCAAGAGACAGAGGGAGATGTTACCTATGGCTGAGCCCACATCCCTATTAGATCCTGCTTTCTCCCTGTTGTGCTTGGTTCTGGGGCAAGTTCCTCCATTGTGGTCTTCCTCTCTATTCCTCCAGACCACTGTTAACCTTCTGCTTTAATTAAGAATAGAATAAAGTTTCAATGCTCAAAGCTGGTATCATCTATGAGATGAGAATGGGGTTTAGCCGGAGCTGGGAAGAGAAGCACTACCGTCTATTTGGAATGTAAGACAGTGATGGTGATGAATTCTTAGACAAATCCATAAAGGCTTATAAACCCTGATACCCAAATGGACACACTTATCACCCTTTCTTATATGAGCACCATACCTTTTTATTGCAGCACTGCCCCTTCTCCATCTGCAAGATGTGTCATTTCAGTTGATTTTTCCAACAGTGAAGTATTTTCTTTGTTTCATGGGTTGTTGTGGCCCTCAAGTGGGCAGTCTACCGGTGACGAGCCTCTCCATACTTAACGAGACTCAGTCTTTGGAAAGGAAACTGTTGAGGGGTAGCTAGGTGGTGCAGTGGATAGAGCACTGGCCCTGGAGTCAGGAGGACCTGAGGTCAAATCTGGCTTCAGACACTTGACGCTTACTAGCTGTGTGATACTGGGTAAATCCCTTAATGCCATTGCCTAACCCCCCCCCCCAAAAAAAAAGAGGAAAGGAGAATGTTGGTTGCCATGCTCTAACCTAGCTCCCTTTGCAACCAAGGGCAAACATTTGAAAAGCAGCTGGTCCAAGCAAAGGGTATAACCAGTGACTGGGTTGCAGAGCAGGAAAAAGCTTACCTGAGCACAGGGATTATCCATGACCTTGAGGCTCATTAAAACAGAGTTCTTACTAACTGAGCTAATCAAGTCCAGACATGGGTGTATGAACACACACACACAGGTGCTCGTGTACACAGAACCAGAGGCAAGCATATACAGATGCAAAGATACACATGGATCTTACGTGATGTACAATGTACCCATGTGCATTCATGACACACAAAGGACAGAATCACCAACACACGGGGATAAGACATATTCACGTACAGAATCAGAGAATCTCAAGAGACTTCAGAGATGATCTAGTCCAACCTCATTGCTAAACATAGGAATTCCCTTTACACTGACCCATAACCAAAAATTTTAGCATCTGTGGCAAATACCACAAGCTGTATTGGAAACAAACAGCATGGAACAGGTGCTTACAGTTGAGGTGGAGGGAGAGAGAAAAGACTGCCCCATGATGGGCAGAGAGAGCCCTTCATATTAGTGTGAGTCCAGTGCTGGGGAGGCTGCTGCACAGGTAGGGAGCAAGGTGGGGCACAGTAGAAACACCCTGAAGCACCATCAGTTAGCATCTGATTTAAAAAGAATTATTTTTGCTCGCTAAAGTTCTGTTGTTTCTATGCTGCTAAAGACTATAAGTACTATCTATGCCAGGGGTGGGGAACCTGTGGCCTCGAGGCCACATGTGACCCCCTAGTCCTCAAGTGCAGCCCTTTGACTGAATCCAAACTTCACAGAACAAATCATTTTATTAAGGGGATGGACTCTATACTTTCCAAATTTGGTGTCCTAAGACAAAGTCTTGGTAACCTCACCTTAGTTATGGGTCTGCCTCTTCAATGAGTGGGTTAATAGCACAAAATCAAGTGCCAAGAACCACATGCCCACAGGGTCAATGGACAAGACTTCTGTTAAGTGTTGGGTGAGATTTGTGAATTGTGCCCCTGTGATACTGTCCCCAAGAGGGCTTGAACCTTTTCTCTGACACACATGGCTTAGGTGACATCACAAACAAACACGCCTCTCCGCCATAGAGGACAGTATCTCCAGGCATTGACATTTTGTACATCCAGAAAAAAACAACATTGAGAAACCTATCAGGCTCTTGAATGTTGTGTCCTCTTTGACTAGTACCCATACTGCAATACTTAGGTGGATCTGCCATTTCATCATTGACATGGATGTTCCCTCTAATGATGCATATTGAAGACCATTCATACTTGCTCTACCGGTTAGGCCCTACCAAAAATTCACTTCAGGGGTTCTGCCTGATGTACTGGAAGCCTTCCTCTCATTCACCTGACATAGCACCAATACAAATGGAGCATGAGAGCTATTCAGATGAGGCATTGGAAAAGTGGCTGACTATTCTTCCTATTTGAACCTTGGGTTCTTCAGACAAATATACAAATTAACAGATATTAGCCCCACGACACAGGGATCAGTCATCTCTAGGAGAAAGACAAGAACAGATCTATCCTGACTATAATTTTTCCAGTCCTGTCCTCCATATTGTTTTCATCATACACAATCCCCCACCCCCCACTCCCCCAGCTAGGGCTGCTATCCTCATTAAGTCTATGGCAGTAGGTGGACACAGCTCTGGAGTTGGCATAAATGGAATAGAATCAGACTGAAGGTAAGTACCCTGGTCCCTATTCTTTCCGTTTCTCTTATAAAGAGTTGGTTACTTATCTATTGATTGGAAAGGGAGAGAGAATGGGGCCATTAGGGCCCAAACTGAAAGAGGAATGTCAAACATAAAGATGCTCAATAATTTTTAAAATTAATTTAACAGTCATTCAATAAACTTTTATTAAGCACTTGCTTGTTCAAAGAACTGTGCTGGGCACTGGAGGCGATAGAAAGTTTAGAAAAGATAATATTCCTCCCCTCCTCAAGCATTTAGTCTAACAGGGATATCAGACCCAAACACAGATAACTACAATAAAAAACATTACATGATATAATTAAGATTCAAAACTAAGTGCTCTGTGAAGTACCAGACTTCCTAGTCACAGCTGTACTGGAGGGGAAGGGGAGAAAGGAGTGGGCTTTTCAGGCATAAAGAAAGTGTGAGCAAAAGGACAGAAGTGGGATAATGGTAGTTCAGGGGGCAAGTCTGGAAGGTTTGGTTGACACCAGTTTGCAGGAACTTATGCCCAACAAAAGTGTTTGAATTTTATTTGAAAATCTCTAAATATTATTTGTTATATAAGATGGCTTCCTGGGAGGGAGAGGAGGAAGGATACTGGGAGAAATTCTGGTGATATAAAAAAGATATCAGTAAAATGTATTTTTAAAAAGAAAATGAATTTTAAGAAATCATAAAGAACAAGCTTGACCCAAATGAAGAAATATGAAAAGACATCCTCCACATAATTCCTTCCTTTTTAGAGCTGGGAAGTCCATGTGTGTGGAACATGGCTTATATTGTCAGATTTTTTTTTCAATATGTTGGTTATAGTTGATTTTGCTCATTTTATTTATCTTTTCAAAAATTATTTATTATATAGGATAGCTCTCTGTTGAGTAGAGGGGTGGGATACAGAAGGAAATCTAGGTGACAAAGACAAAAGATATCAATAAAATCTTTTTGAATTATTATATATTAAATCATTAAAGATTTTTGAGCATAGGAATAACATGATCACATCTACGAACAACAAAAAAGATTATTCTTTCAGTCCTATGAAGGACAGATGAGACTAGAGAATGGAAGTGGGAAGATTACATGGCCATTAATGAAGTCTTATATTAGTTGTACTTGGATGGTGGCAGTAGGAATGGAAAAAATGGGATTAATTTGAAGAGGATTTTGGAAGTAGAATTAACAGGACCTGGTTAATTGACCAAATATGTGATGAGAGGAAGAAAGACGAGTAGAAAATAATCACAACCTTTCAAGCAGAAGTAATAAAGTCAGAAGGACAAACGGCTTTGGGGGAGGGGCAGAAAGAATAATAATACGTTCCACTTTGGATTTGTTGAGTTGGAATTATCCTGTAGTTGCTTAAATATCCCTGTTGTATCCCACTCTCCCGATAGAATGTAAGCTCTTTGAGGGTAAGGACTGTTTCCTTTTCGTCTTTGTTTTTTCCCCAGTGCCTAGCATACAGTAAGGTACCTCATAAATGTTTATTGAATGGCTGAACTAAATCGAGGTGCGGGTGGGAGGTGGAGGCGGACGTGTCCTGAAGGCACTTGGACATTCGGGACTGAAGGTTTAGAGCAAAGGTCAGGGCTGGAGATTTGGATTAGATTTAAATTGGTTAAAATGAGCTAAAACCCCAGTAGAAAGCTTCTTGAACAAAGACCAAGTCTGGCCACAGCTTGGGGTCAACAGAGAGTGTACAAGTCGCCATCTTCTCCCCCTCCCACCGTAGCTTCACGCCTTGTCAGGTGGTTTTGGGGAGGATAGTTAGGTCAGTGAAGATAACTGCTAGACAGTGAGTGCTTCGACTGCTTAGCTCCGAAGCTCCCCTGCCCCAGAGGAGCAGACCATCTCCAAGGTACGCCACAGCCAGCTTCACTCCAAGAGAGGTTGGCACACGCCCCTCCCAGGAAGTGATTAATGAGATTAGTTCCAGATCACTAGTCACTCTCCAAGTAGAAAGTGAAATGCCCCCCTGTCCCTCCATTTCTGGTGGCTGCAAAGCTTGAGCTAAGGTTTTCTGTTTTGTAATGGGGTTTTTTGTTTGTTTGTTTGTTTTTAAATATTCCCCCCCCCCACTGCCCATCATTTTGACAAGATTGTGGAGTGGCAAGGGCTTCTCTATAAGGCAGGAAGCTTTGGGCACGGCTGTGGAGGTGCGATGACTCTGCCAGGTGGGCTAGAAAAGGAGAGGAGGGTGTCTGAAGTCAAGGGGGGGACACTCTTATTGGGTTCAAGAAGTTCAGAGCGGAGTTTCCCCTAGGGAAGGGATTCACTCTAGGGGAGAAATCTGCAGGGTAAGTTTAAGCTGACCTGACTGCCAGCCGGAAGCTCATTCTCCGGCCCTGGCTCAGGAGAGTCTCCAGGCTTCGTTCTACTACCCGGGCCCCGGCAGCTAGTTGCTGAAGCTGCCCAGGATTTACACGGAGGGAATCAGGACCACTCCTCCCCAAGCAGAGAAATAACTTCCCCCACGCAGGGCCAAAGGATGGGAGTCCAGGCAAGGCCGGAGAATTGTTGGAATCAGGGGACCCCCCGCGGGGGAGGGGCGAGAGAGGAGGGAGGAGGTGGAGCGGGGGTGGGACGGAGAAGGCTGGACAGTGCATGCCCCTCCCCCAACCTGACTAACCTTCCCGGGGGGCGTATGGAGAGCCGGGGTAGGAGGTGGAGGGAGGGGGACTCACTCCTCCACCCCGAGCTCCAGGTTTCTGTTGCTGCTGAAAGCTGGCTGCAAACCCAATGAGACCATCCACCATCACGGCTGCTTTCTTCTGGCAGCGGAGGCGGGCGCTTCCTCGGTTTCCCTTCCCCTGGCCCCAGCCCCTGGTCCCTGGCCCATGTCTCCAGCTCGTGATGTCACAATCCCACCCGGACCGAGTGTTCCAGTCCCCGCTCCCAGTTGTCCGGCTGGGAAAAAGGAGATTGCTGAGGGGGAGCTCGCTCGTGAGTCATGGACTTCTCCTGGCTCCTCCTCTACCACTCCCACTCCCTCGCTGGCCCCCCCCACAAGGGCTAGCGTTCGCTCTCGGGATCCGAGGGGGTGGGGCTGCTGGGAATGGCTGTTCGCCCTTCTCCTCCTCTGCCCGGCTCCCTATTTTACCTGAAGAGGCAAAGATCTTGCCCACAGTGCACATGGGGCATGGAGGAGAAGACAGCGGCGCAGTCGGGGGCCAGCGGGGCCAGCCGGGAGCTGCCAGGTCCCCGGAGGATATCTGCGGTCCAGTACTTCAATACTGCAGTGGACCAAAATCACATCCTTCCCGGAGCCCTCAGGCTCATTCAGGAGCTGCGCCCGCACTGGAAGCCCGAGCAAGTTAAGACCAAGGTACGCGGGCGAAGGAAGGTGCAGTCTGGGCGGTGGAGCGGTAGAGCGGATCCGAGCGGGGCGGGGGAGGAGGGAGTCCCCCCAACCCCTTTCTTCCACACACCCCCTCCCCAGGATTGCCCGGGGAGGGAGAATCAACACGTTTCTGGGGATGAGGAGGCTGGAGAAGGGACTGGGGGCTGATCAGGAGAGGAGGCGGGGATGCTGCTATGCTACTGCGTGTGTATCGGAGCTACTCGAGAGCTTCTCTGCAGGAGGCATGGGGTGGGAGGTGGTTGATTTTTTTTTCCAATTTGGTTGGGGGGGCGAGGAAATACAGGGTTTACTCCATCTTCAGTGGATGGGACTCCCCGATCTCTCTCTCTCTCTCTCTCTCTCTCTCTCTCTCTCTCTCTCTCTCCCTCTCTCTCTCTCTCTCTCTCTCTCTCTCTCTCTCTCTCTCTCTCTCTCTCTCTCTCTCTCTCTCTCTCTCTCTCTCTCTCCCTCTCTCCCTCTCCCCCTCTCCCCCTCTCCCTCTCTCTCTCTCTCTCTCTCTCTCTCTCACACACACACACACAGACAGACACACACACACACGAACACACACGCGCAGACACACACACACACACACCACGCCCCCTCTTGCTTGTTTCTGCCATGCTCTGTAGGAGAGGGTTCTACCGCCTGGGGATGCCATCCTTGCTCTATCGTATCTGGTGTGCCTGACATATATACCGGGTATAGAGGGCTAACTTTTTCTGGGAACCCCAATTGCACTCCCCAAACCCGTAGTCTTTTCCATCCAAAGACCATATCCTAGGGTTCTTGCCTTGTCTTGACTGGGTCTCAGAAACCAGCAGTAGAGATTCCTAGCTATGCCTAAGATTAGGTTGGCTTCACCAACCTTCTGACTTGTAGGCAAAGTCACATACAAAGAGAGGAGTGGAAGGTGAAGGGAGGAGCCCCCAACAGATCACAGGATGCCTCTTACCCAAGTAGAGCCAGACTGATTCTCCAGCTGACACATCTTCTCTCCAGAAAAAAGCATCACCTGTGTGCACACACCCCATTCCACCTCAGGGCCTGCTCATTGAGAGGAGAACATCCGGTCTTCCCCAAGAGGAATGTTAAAGGCTGAGCCCCTCCAACGTGTTTCATAAGAATGGCAGTACACTCTATGTCAGTGGTTATGTGAGAACATGGACCAAGGAGTGGAAGGTGGGGAGAGGAATCAGCCATAGCCCCCAATAGAGCACATGATGACTTCTACCCAAATAGAGCCAGACTTCCTCTTTAGCTGATGTATCTTTTCTCAAGGAAAGGGTATCACCTGAATGCACATACCCCATTCCACTTAAGGGCCTGCTTGTTAAGAGGAGACTGTCCAATCTTTCCAGTAGGAATATTAAAGGCTGAGACCCTCTGACTTGTTTCATAGGATTGCAGGACACTGGTTATGTTGGAATATTGACCAAGGATTGGAAGCTGCTGTGAAGGTCCAGGGTGGACTATGGAAAGTGACATTCCAGAATAGGGAGAACTTCTGTGTGTGCCTGCATATTTGATATGTGCTAAGGAGGGCTCGTTTAGAGGAAATGGGCAATGTACACGTTACCTCAGAGTCAGGAGACCTGGTTGGGTTCTTCTAGCCCTGACTCTATCATTAACTAACTATGTGGCCTTAGGCCAATAATGTCTCTGAGCCTCAGTTTCCTCTTCTGCAAAATCAGTAAGTTGCCATGATCTCTTAGGTTTCTTCTAACTCTAAATACTCTTATTCAATGAAGTACCTAAATTCTGTGCTATTCTGTGTGCCTTATTTCCCCCTTGGTAATCTTGGTGAGATCAATCCCTCTGGGCCATCTGTGCAACCTTGGGAATAATTGCCTTCTCTCCACCTAAGACAACATGCAGGTGTCTCATTGATATTCCGATGACATTGTTCCCTGCCTCAGACAACCAGCTGAGTAAAGGGTAATAATAGTATTCTATAGCACTTTAAGACTGACCCTGTGATTCCTTCCATCAACCATACGAGGTAGGTAGCACAAATATTATTTTCTCCATTCTACAGATGAGGAAAGTGACACACTCATGTTAATATCATATAGTCAAGAAGTGTCAGGGCTGGGATTTGAACACAAAACTTCAGAGTCCAAGGCTAGCATTCTTTTAGCCCTAGCTGAGAGAGGCCTCTGTCTGAAGGAGCTCCTGCTTTGCTCCATCTGCCAGCCCTGTTTGTCTTTGAGCTAACTTGAAGGAAGAAATTCAATTGGGGATAAGGGAGGAGAGTAAGGGCATAACCTCTACGGAACCCCAAAACTCTCTCCATCCCGAGCCCCACGCTGTGAGGAAGAGTCAACCAGCACTGAAGATGAAGTGGTCAGTCTGCCAATTTTGTAGGCTCAGCCATAGTCACCTGGCACTGGAAGAAAAAGCAGAGACACTGATTGGGTTGGGGAAAAGTGGAGAGGCCACTGATGGGAAGGAAATACCCATTGGATTTTTTGGGAGAATTATAGTGATTAGTCTTCCCAAAAGTCCTACTCTGATCCCTCATCATGGCCTGAAGGTGACTCTGGGTTCTCAAAGGCTATGACCATAGGAAACAAGCTGTGGCAGGTCCTCCTAAGCAGAGAAAGCTTCCAAGTATTAGCCTTATCATGGACCACGTCTATTGTCTGAGGGCTGTCCCAGCTAAGCCAAGAGAAGCTCAATGGAAAAAAAACAGTTGACCACTAGGGGATGGATCATTTTGGCCACAGCACCTCAAAAAAACAAACAAACAATTCAACAACTACTAAGGCAGGGAAAGGATACAATTCACATCAATTGGGGGGAATACCCATAGTGACCAAATCCTGGATCTTTTGGAAAATTTGAAATAGCATTGTCGATGTAGACTCTATTCCCATTAGCACACAAATTAACAGTGACTCCAATGGAACTCTGAGTGGGGATGATGGGGCTGGGAAATCCAGCAGCCCTTCTCCTCCCATCCCCCTCAGTTCTCCTCCCCCCTTTCCTTACTCGTATAGCGCTTCACTGATGGGATCACCAACAAGCTGGTGGCCTGCTTTGTGGAAGATGACATGAGGGACGCAGTGCTGGTCCGTGTCTATGGGGAACGGACAGAGCTTCTGGTGGACCGGGAGAATGAGGTCAGGAACTTCCAGCTCCTTCGGGCCCATGGCTGTGCACCCAAACTCTATTGTACCTTCCAAAATGGCTTGTGCTATGAGTTTCTCCCAGGCATGGCTTTGGGGCCCGAGCATATCCTCGAACCCCGGCTCTTCAGGTGAGGTGGGCTTGGGAGTCCAGGGAGAGGTTGGGTACAATTTGTACTGGTGGTGGGGAACCACTGGGTTCAGAGATTGTATATTTATAATACACTTCTGTCTGGTCTCATCTTAGGCCACTGGAGTTGTACGCTCTTGCCGACTTCTTGGCCAACAGGGCAGGTTCAGGGATATGGAGGAGAGGAGAGGAGAATGAGGTAGAAATTGACAAAAGAACCCTGGTTTCTTGGGTATATTTTGTTTGAGTCACTGCAGAGGACAAAGAGTTCCAGAGAAGGAAGGCTGCATCCCAACCTCTAGACTTACCCACATCCCTCTAAAACCTTAGAAATGGCTCACTCATTCAGCAACTAGTTTATTGAGTGCCCGCTATTTGCCAGGCACTATATCCAAATCCCTAGAGTGCTTGGGGTTTCTCTCCCCGCCTTTCCCCTTGCCACTAGCTCAGGGTATGTACGGAAATTGGGACCCATGCCGGAAGTAGTATGTACTTCAAGTGAGCTCTACCAGTGAAGGGTGATACAATTCATTCCAAGCTGGGCTTCCCTCTGGATCCCTGGGCCTGGGGATTCTGGGAGCTGGACTTTCCTCCACAAAACCCAGATGCCTGTACTTGATTATTTCAAGTCCAGATGTGAGAGCTACTACTGGGCCAGGGCTTCTCTAAAAAGGGGGCTTGGAGATGCTATTAAGCAAACTCCTCCCCACTATTCCATTGAACCCAATGCTAAAGGCCAATCTGGGAAAAGTAGCAAAGGAAGAACCCCGAGTTCTCCCCAATGCATGCTCAGCTGACCCTCACCCCAAGAGCTGGTGAGAAGAGGAATATACTTAGATAAGCCATCAGGTATTGCTCAGAGGCAGTACCATCTAGTGGTTTTAGAATCTGGGTTCTAATTCCAACTTCGCACCTCACCTCCTTATTACTTCAGCTATGTCAAGTCCTTCTTTCCACTCTCTTGCCCCAGGCAGGGCAGGCCCTTTCTCTCTCTGGCTCTTAGTTTCCTTAGCAAAATGAAGGTGTTAATCTCTAAGGTTCCTTCAGTCTCTAAATTCTGATTATCACTCCTAGATCCGTTGGGGCATGGGTTCTGGGGCAAGAGAATCTATGCAATCTGGAGAGCTGGTCTTGGGAGCTCCTGGGGCCTTGGGTTTGAGGGAGGATTGGGGAGATGTGGGAACAAGGCTTACAGACCAAGACACACACATGCGCATGTCTCTCTCTCTCTGCCAATCAACTGGGTGAACTGAGAAAACACAACAGCCACAGAAGGGACTTTCCTACCCTCTCCTTTGGGGAGGACACCTCTGTGAGGGTAACTGATCGATCTTAGGGCACGGGAGAATTGCAAATGTGTGCAAAGAATTTCTTTAGAAAACCACCCATGAGGGAGGCGGTGAAAGTTGCTTTCACCTCTTCAACCCCACCCCTGCCTCAAAGTTGAGGGCTAAGAACAGGAGGGTCTGACTGGCAGATGGGAACAGGGAGTAGAGCAGTTCCTGAACCTGGCCCTCGTTTGTGCCCCAGCCCTGTTCAGTTATGCTGGGGCCGGGGAGGAGGGTGGGAGAAAGCTGCCTGGAGCCTTTTCCTAGCATCCCTCCCAACTCTGTATCAGGAACTCAAGCACTGCAGAAACCTACCACTCCCACCCCCACCTGGGAAGACAATTGCTATCTGTCATCCCTGATGGGAGAGATTGCAGTTGTCAGGAAGGCTAGAGAAGGGATTTAGGTTAGCTAGCAGAAAGAACTTTCCTCTTTGAGAGAGGTAGAAAATCACACAAGGATGGGCAGGCTAGTGCTAGTCAGGCCAGCCAGGCCTCCTTCTTCCCGGATCTTTCCCCAGAGACACCTGTCTGGGTCAGGGTGGATCCACCTGCCTAGAGGCAGGAGAAGAAAGAGGATGGCCCCACGAAGTGTTGGTCACCTGGGGAGACCTCTTTCTCTGCCTGCTCAGGCTTTCCAGCTCCAAAAATGCTGAGTGTAGATGTCATCCTCATTGCTATTCTAGACAAGAGCTCTATTGATATTCAAGGAAATGCTCTGTGTAGAATCTTCCTCTGGGAAGGGAGATGGGGAAGAGCTGTGTTTTCAGGTCTGTTCTCTGGCCCCGTGGGAGAGGAGCCCTGGCCCAGCTCTTCTCCTCCCATCCTGGGGCCTCCTGCTCAACCTCTGAAGCTGGCCTTGATCTCTCCAACCCTCCATGGCCACCCCTCCCACCCCCACCTTTTCTACTGTACACAGGGAGATGATGGGTGGGGGAGGGGCAGCAGAGGTGGTGGTCTCCCCCTCAGAATGCCCAGGTTGCCCTTTTGCCTCTGGGGGGCACTGTCAGCCCTGCCTGTTCCTGGAGCCAGGCACAGAGCTGGAGGAGGGGGCAAGAAAACAACATGGTAACAAGGTTTCAAACAGCAAATGCCTTTATTGTGCTCAGCCCGTGATTATTATCCAAGCAACAGGCAAAGGCAGAGAGGCAGAATGTTGGAGGCTTGAGGGGTGGGGGTGGGGTGGGGAGAGTGAAATGATAGAGGAGGATGGGCCCCAGAACTGTGGGGAGAGCATGGTGGCACCCAAAGCGATCCTAACCCTGGAGGGCCCCAGAGTTTAGGGTGGGAAGTCTCCATCCCCCCCCTCCCCTCCGGCTCTTCCCAGCTCAGTTTTCCCCTTTTCTTCTGTTCGCTGCAGCCCTCTCCCTCCCAGGACCTTGGACTGCGTCCACAATAGAGCTCGAAATAAGAACGTGGGCTTGTTGTATGTCCTTGGCGCCCTGATGCCAACATCAACTCCCGTTGGCCGAGGAGAGGCTGCCTTGGGCCTACCTCCCTGCTTTGGCCAGCCTGATAAGAGGCGGGCACTTCCTGCCTGGTACCCCTCCTTGGAATGAAGCATGTGTGTGGATAGCCCTGAGGAGGCCGGGCAGGAGGAATATTCCCCTTATGCCAAGTCCCCTCTCCAGCTTCTCCTTCCCATCCCCCACTTATTGCCTGTTGTCTTCTTATGTGAGGCTAGACAGAGAGTCATTATAATAGTAATTTTTAACATTTGTGTAGTGCCTACAAAGCATCACTTATATGTATATATATACATATAACTTTACATCAGATCTCGTCAGATTCTCACCTCAAGCCCATGGGCAAATATGTGGCTTATTATTATAGTATTATTATTATTATTAAATTATTATGTACAGATGAGGAACTAAAGCTCAAACCCAAGACTCTTGCCATCAAATCTAGTGCTCATACTGTACCAGACAGTCTTGTTGTGTTTGGGTCCTGACCACATAGGCAGTGCCCACCAATGACTATTATCACTATTTTACAGATGAGGAAACTGAGACCCAGAGAGATAAAAGTGACAAAGGGGACACACAGCTACTAAATATGTGACCTGGGACTTGGTTCCAGGTCTTCTGATCCCTAAGTCCAGCACTCCTTTTTACTGTGCCACAATAATAATAAAAATAACAATAAGCACTTACTACTATTTCCAGAAACTATTGCCAAGTGCTTTACAAATATTATCTCATTTGATTTTTACAACAACCCTGAGATGTAGGTGTAGCCCATTTAACAAATTAGGAAACAGGCAGAGGATAAGGGACTTGCCCACCGTCACGAAACTAGTAAGTGTCTGAGGCTGGATTTGAAGTCTTGTCTTCCTGACTCCAGGCCTGGTGATCTATCTACTATACTATCCAACTTCCTGCTATATGGCATTGGGCAAGTAAGTCATTTAGCCTTGCTGAAATTAATTTTCCCATATGTAAAATGGCATTAATGACAATTAAACCACCAACCTCCCAGGGTTGTCATGAGAAACAAATTTTGCAAGCCTTAAGATAACACATGAGTAATTTAAACTCTGTTTTTATGAGTCCAGATTTGATGGTTTTCTGGTACATCATCCTGGCTGCAATGAATCCATGTGAGGTGGTGATGAAAGGATGGTGACAGGTAGAAGGACTGAGTAGAAAAGAATTACTGAATGAAAAAAAAAATGACTGCCCTGAAGGTCTAACTCCTAGTATTAGAGCTGGAAGGGACCTTAGAGATTATTCAATCCAACCCCTTCATTTTATAGCTGAAAAAACTGAGGCCCTCAAAGGGCACTCAGCTTGCCATTAAATTGTGCATCTAAAGATTCCTTCCTGTTTCCTGGTTCCAATTTTGGAAATGGAATGGGAACTTCAAGCCTGAAGGTTCCATTTTATTCTTCTGTCTTGCAAAAGTTCAGGGTCTTCCTGTTCCAAAAAGCAAGTGGGTGGTCCTCCCTAACCCTTTTCTCTTTCTGGTTCAGAAGGCAATGGGGTGGGAGTGGGAGGAGTGGCATGGGGGTATCAGAGTGTGAACGACCTCCATGGTGACCCTTGTATTTGTGCTTTACCATAGGCTGATTGCCTGGGAAATGGCAAAAATCCACGCCATCCATGCCAACGGCTGTCTGCCCAAACCTGGCCTGTGGTCCAAAATGTACAGATATTTCACTCTTGTCAAGGATTCTTTCAACTCCAGGTAAAGAAAGGAGCTGTGGTCAGGAACCCCTGTCCTACTTTACCCAGATTAGGTCTGGCTTAGACTCCTTATCCTGAGTGGACTTGGGAAATTTAGAGCCTAAAACCCAAAAAAAAGACACCCTAGGACCATAGATCCAGAGCTGGTAGGGACCTGAGGCCCAGAGAGGTTAAGTGATTTGCTTCAGGTCACCAGGTAGTAAAGCCTTGGAAATGAGGTGCTAACTCTCACTTGCAGCTACTTCGCACACCCCTCCTTTGAATTCAGAGGCTATTTGTTTATCTTTTGCTAGGGGTCAGCTGGTCAAAGAGACCAAGTGTATGTTAGGCTATCGATCGACAGACAGTCTAATCTTTTTTGATTTCTAGAAAACTTTTCTGTTCTAAGTTCTTTCACCCCGTCTGATGAAATGCTGTCTGGCCTCATACCTTCTGAGCAACATTGAGAAGGTCAGAAAAGGGATCTCCTATTTTATGCAAGAGGAAGTAGAGATCAAGAGAATTTGGTTAAGGGACTTGTCCAAGGTCCCTTACACAAAGAGCCAGTGATTGAACCCAGGTCTCCTGATGGGCTTTCCCTCCACTGATCACCTGGATAAGAGCCTATGGCAGTAGAGTGGGGATGAAGCAGGATTGGGATCCTGCAGTCAGTAAGTCTATTTCCTTTCCTTTTAGAACTTGTCTACCTGCACAGGCTGATCATCCATCCCACCTCCAGGCTCTAGACCCTACCCATCTCAGACAGATAACTAACTCTCTTCTCCTTTCCCCTCTCTAGGGAAGGCAGTGCTACTATCCATCTGCCATATCCCACCCCTTCTTGAGCGTCCTTCAGCTCTTTAACTCCTTCCCTAATTTTCCCTAATCCATAACCCTGAGGCTCCTACTAATCCCCCCAAACCTAGTTCTCTTCATCCCTGCCTCCCTACCACATGCAGAGAAAGGATGAAAGGGGCTCCCTTTTCCTCCAAGACAACAGCCTCCTCTTTTATCTCTTCCCACATTTACATAGTTAAGGATTACAAAGCACTTCCTGTACAACAACTCTGTGAATGAGGTAGTATAAATGTTATTATCTCCATTTTACAGATGAGGAAACAGAAGGCCAAAGAGATGAAATATCTCAATAGCCCATGGTCACACTGCTTGTAAGTGGTGGAGGCTGGATTCTGAACCAGTTCTATCAAGTCAGTCTATCTAGGTCCATCTCTTTTCCTCCCACTGTCCTCCATTATATCTCATAGATCGCCCCCTGTCCAATCAGTGTGAGCTCAGGCTCTTTGACCCAAAGGGACAAGAGAGAGATGGGGGAGAAAGGATTATGCCAGTTAAAGAAAGAATCATTAATGCCATTCCCACTGTGACTTTCTCCTAGCCTCTAACCAGGGGTGACTTTATCCAGATCATCCCACTTAATCATTAACAAGCACTTATTTAGGGACATTTAGTATTGGGTGGCCTTGAAATGTCACTGTTGGAACAATCCTAGCCTCTCTCTCTCTCTTCTCTTGTCCTTGTATGTCTTCTATTTCAAATGCCTTTCATCCTGTTAATGGGGTGCTGAAAGCCCTTTTTCCCCCTCCCCCAATGACCAGAAAAGAAGAAGAAAAATGATGATAACAAATGTTTAAAGTAATGCTTAAACATTTGCAAAGAGCTTTTCTTCTTGGAACCGTAGAATGTCAATATTGAGATAGAACTTGGAGATCATTTAGTCCACCCTTTAGGCTGCCTCTGAAATTTTAGAACGCAATCCAGGGAGGTTAAAATACAATAAGGAGCCTGAATTTTATTCTGGATGCAGTGAGGAACTCTTTGAGCAAGAGAGTTACCTGATCAAAGTGGTGATGTAGGAAGACTAATTTGGCCTTAGTGTGTGGGACAGATTGGAAGGAACGAGAGACTGGAAGCAGGAAAACTAGCCAAGAGGCTATTTAAGAGCTTAGAAGAGAACAGAGATCAAAAGTCTGAGTTCAGTTCAATTCAACAAGCATTAATTAAGTTTCTTCTATGATTAAGGCATTGAGCTGGATGCCCTGTAGAATACAGAGGTAGAAAATGATATAGGTCCCCCTCTTGAAGAGTTAATGGGGGGAGGGGGATAAGTATACAAATAACTATGATACAGGGGAGATAAAGACAAGGGCAAAGTGGAGGGCTAGGCAGACAGCCAGTAGATTTCAGCTAGAGAGGTGACAATGGATATGGGCAGGAAGGGACTAATTTGAGAAACATCTCTGAGCTAGAATAAACACAATGTAGCTACTGGTTTATGGGGGTGGGGAGGGCAAAGAGAAGGCAATTTAACTTGAATTTTTGAACCATGGTGACTGGGAAGAACAGTGATTCTGTTAATAAAAACTTAAGAATTCAGGGGGAGGCTCCAGCCTGGGAATGTGGTGAAGTTTGGCTTTTGGCAGGATGCATACATCCAGGCATCAACTCATCCAGAGGGGAGAATCCATCCATTGTAGGGACAGAGGCCCCTCTCCTCTGCAGCTTCCTTGGGTTCAAAGGTGAGAACAGTTCTCGTGACCTTGAGGTTCCCCTTGGAATATCTCCAATTCCTTGTGCAGGGGGAGTGCAAGAGCTTTATCACCTTTTGTAGCATCTTTCTCTCCTCTTCTGCCCCTCTCAACCCTCCCCCTGGCTGCAAGAGTAATGCTTTTCCACTCAGTATATTATTGTGGTGGTGATGGATACTAAAGTTTCCAATCCTATAACCCTCAAATAGATGTGAGAAGGTCAAGATGAAAGATGGTAGGAACACTTGAGACAGTGTTTCCAAATGCTGACCAGAGAAGAGACAGGGCCAGCTCTCACATAGCTTCAGTTTCTTCCTTCCATCCTCCTTCCACCAAGTTTATGTGTGTGTGTATGTGTGTGTGTGTTGTTGGGGTGTGGGTGTAGGTGGAGGGCTATAGACCCTGTGATCCCAAAGGCCTTCTATAGTAAATCTAATGTTCTGTGTTCTAGAAGCCATGTGTCCAGGGTTGGGGGCGGGGGGGGGGGGCAGGGAGCAATAATGACCTGATATCCCTGGATATTTGGTCCAGTGGCTTGGCCTCCTAGGGATATATCATCCTCAAGAGGTCATTGCACTCTAGAAGGAGTCCAGAAGATCAGGTCTCTAAATCCTCCCTTCCTTTCTTTTTGTGCTCAACTGCCTTGGAAAAGAAAACACAAACAAACAGATCTATGAATCAAAGAAAGACCAAGTTTAGTCACACTTACCCAAGCTTCCTCCCCTTCACTGATTGGTTCACTCTGAATTTTACTGGGACTGAGCCAAATGTTTGGTTTTATATTGTACACAAACCAATGTGCCTTTCTAGGATACATAGAGTCCAGACAATCCAGCCCATTTAAACTCAACCCAGTCTCCAAGTGATCTTAGGCAAATAGGAAGGAACTGTTCTAGGTTATTCTGAAATTGATCCATTGCATCCATTAAACCCAAGGGAACCTAACTGGCATCATTGTCCTTGTATCCCAAGAAGTGTTCAAGGATGGTTGTTTAGGTCTGTTATCTGTAGAATAAGGGAGTTGGATTAGATGACATCTAAGGTCCCTTTCAACTCTAGCAACTGAATATTCAACAAATTCAACTCAACTGAGCAAACATTTATTAATGACCTATCTGCAAGACACTGTGAATAGGCACAGGGGATAAAAAAAGATAAAAGATGATAGAGTCTCTGTCCTCAAGGAGCTTTTAGATCCTACTTGGAAAAAATATGGCGAATGCACAGAAAAGCATACATGATCTGGCAAAAGAGAAACCCAAAAAACTCTAGGAAAATCTGAGGTGAGAGAAAAAACTTTCATCTGGGAGGAAGATGGAAGGCTTCATGGAGGAGTTGGCATCTAGACTGAGCCATTAAGAAAGAGAGAGAGAGAGAGAGAGAGAGAGAGAGAGAGAGAGAGAGAGACACCCCCTGTCTCTTAGAGATTTTTCTTCTTAATGTCTTCAGAAATCCTTTTCTTTTCCACCTTGTCACTGTAGTCATTCTGTTCTCTGTTTGGGTTTTGAAGACTTGACCTTTCATTCCTAATTCTTTCCCAGCAGATCTAATTGCCTGTCCTCCTTCCCATAATATAATGCCTTTGATGTACAGAACCCTTTACGATAACCCAAAATATTTTCCTGTTTATTATCTCATCTGATCCTCATAATAGCCCTGCGAGGTAGGCAGGGGAGTCATTATTACTCCCATTTTACAGATCAGGAAACTGAGGCCCAGAAAAGTGAAGTGACTTGCCCAAAGACATACAGCTGGTGACTGGTAGGGATGGGACTAGAGCTCAGGTCTCTTGGGACTCAGTTTAGTGCAATTTCCATCCATTACACTACTCTCCTAATCCTCCCTCATACCTGACCTCACATCCTATTGAATTAGCCTTTC